CGAACTACGTTACAATCACTTTTAATCACTTTAATGCATCCTTGATTAACAAAAATTTTTTATTTTCTTTTAAAAAAAATTATATATATATATATATATATATATACTGTATATCTTACTGATCTTATCTAAAAACATCAGGTAAGACAGTAACAGTTGCATTTTACCTCAAGAACAAGGTAAATAAAAAGGACCATTCAGTCTTGGGTAAAAGGCCCACAAGGGAGCTATAGTGATATAGTGTAAACATAGGGACTACAATGATATGGCAATAAATAGTGATAAACAGGAAAGTACTGCAGTGATATTGTTGCTGTTTGGTGATTCAGTGGCGTTCAGTGAGTGCAGGCCGGTCAGCAGCGGTGCAAATGTATTCTCCTTCAGGCTGTGTTCTGGCCGGCACCTGTTAAAAAGTGCTGCGGTCGTCTCGCACAATTGGCCCTGTAATTTCAAAAAAGGTCACAGCGGCTGTGGCGTAATTCAATATTCTTATAGCGCTGTATTAACTACATATTTAATCACCGAGGGTAGGACACTGACGGAGCGTCCTGGTGTGGCAGGGCAACGGAACATATGCAGACCAAAGTGCTGCTGTCAGCAGCACATGAAGGATAAGCGCACGGCTCCTTCAAGTGCCTGCTCCCATGATGCACAGCTACCAAATCTGCTGTGTTGTACATTCGGTCAGATATCTAGCAATGACCCATAGTCCACCTGCTTTTTTCTCCTCCTTCAAGCCCCCTTTTCTCATTTTCTCATATAGAGGTGTAGATATAAAAACAGATTACAAGCCTATATAAGGGATAATGTACAGATAGACAGTCATTATTCCCAAATAAATCTGACAAGGATGATCAGGATGCGAAGCAGAGGGGTTTTTAATCACCATAAAGGAGGTTATTTGGCAATAATGACCGACTGACTGTACTTACCTGCAGTTACTTACCAAATAAAGATATAAATGGAAATTAAACATTGATTTGAGGTAAAAAAAAATTGTTCTATTAACTGAGAAGAAAGAGAGGTAAGAGAAAGTAAATTACTACAGCTGTGTTTAGCAAAGCTACTGTATATAAGAAATTGTGTATTTCAGTCAAATTAGCATCATTATATAATAAAATATTTGACCGCAACATGCAGTTACTGACCAAGCAGAATCAAGTTTACCAGAGAGCTGTACAATAAATACAGGCACAGAGGCAGTTTTGTGTAACAACTTTTTGCCACTTTTATAGTATGAGGTAGAAGTCAGAAAATGGTGCAGAGAACAGATAAGAACAGGATTGAGAAATAACATGAGCTGGACTCAAACTTGAGTTGCTTGTATGAGGCCTGTGGCCCAACATGGACATTGGCTAACCAAAAAGGCAAGGTGTTTGACAGCCAATAGTCCCACAGGAGTACTAGTAAAGGTATATTGATGGAAAGTGAATCAATGGCACAAGTCGATTCAGAAAATAACTTATTTGCAATACAATTATTCAGACTGTTAAGTGAACCATTTCAACTAATTTGTTGAAAAGAACAGATCAGATAGTTCCAAATATATCCATTCTGATCTGTTGAGATTAACAGAACAAATTGTTCACAAATTATCCACTCATTCATATTACATTTGCAACAGTAAGATTTTCCATAGTGAACGCAGTGAAAAGATCTGGAGAAAAGCATCGGAGTGACACTATTCATTTGCTTTCAAAATATAGTGAACTGAACATTTGTGACCCTGGAGCACAAAACCAGTCATAAGTAGCACAGGTATATTTGTAGCAATCGACAAAAATACATTGTATGGGTCAAAATGATCGATTTTTCTTTTATGCCAAAAATCATTAGGATATTAAGTAAAGATCATGTTCCATGAAGATATATTGTAAATCTCCTACCGTAAATATATAAAAACTTAATTTTTGATTAGTAATATGCATTGGTAAGGACTTCATTTGGACAACTTTAAAGGCAATTTTCTTAATATTTAGATTTTTTTGCACCCTCAGATTACAGATTTCAAATAGTTGTATCTCGGCCAAATATTGTCCTATCCTAACAAATCATACATCAATGGAAAGCTTATTTATTCTCAATTGTAATTAAAAAATTACCCTTATGATTGGTTTTGTGGTCCAGGGTCACATTTAATATTCCTAAATATTCTTAAAGTCAGCAAAAATGGTTACAACCCATCTATTTCTGAAATGTGATGAATTTATGAATGACGAAACATATACAATATGAAAAAGAAAAAGAGAAAAAAAACTTTTATCCATCTGGACTTGATTGGTTTGTAAGGGAGAAAAAAATGAGCCAGGCCAAATACAAATTTGCTCAAAACAAGGTCTAAATAGCTATTATTGGTTGGTTAGAGGAAGAGAAAATCACTATATTTTGATTAAAGATTACATATTTTTCACCTTTAGAGTACTGTGCAGCAATGAATCATTTGAAATAGACCAGGAATGTGTATTTAAAAAAGTAAATAGAGTCTATTTTGATTTCATATTGACTTTAAGGTCAGAGGAACTGAGATCATAGATGTACACTGGTGTGTAAATGCGTGTCTATATCTAGTCTACAGCCATCACACAACACGACACCAGTTTCATCAAAGAAACTCTGAGATTGTCAGGTGGTTAGAGAATGCAACCCATCATGCTCAGCTGCACACTGTTCATTGTGCGGCTGCAGCATCTGTTTACAGCTCAGCGGCGGTTCCTGAGCAACGCATCAGGTGGAGTGAATTGGACTTCGGGCAGGATGTGCCTGGCTCAGCCCTGTTCATTAACGCTGCTATATCAGGCTCCAGCTATCAATGCAGGCTCGCAGCGAGCAAAAGGCATCACCACACGCCTGCTCGCGACTGAAATTACAGCCCCCTCCAACGACACACCAGAAAAGAACATTAAACCCAGAGACAGACCGAGCTGACAAGTAAATTGTTTCTGAAGCAGCAGGAAAAGGAACACGGGGAAAGGAGGTGGAACGAAGGGAGATGAGAAGGAGGGAAGGTAAACAAGTGAGGAGAAGGAATCATAACGGACAGGAGTGTGAAGCAATAAAGAGGAAAATGGTTGAATAACAGGGTGATTTGGGAAGGTATCATCCTGGCTGATGTGAATTAGGGAGAGAAAGGCTAGAAACGGAGAAAGAGAGGGCTAAAGAGAGCTCGTCGCAGAAGTCGGTCATGATGAATAAACTACGCTTTACAGGGAACGTACAATATGCTGCTAGCAATGAAAAAACTGATGACACGCTCGCTCAGGTGTCCTTAGGTAAAAGTGTACAAGATGAAAAAAAGGGTTTAAATGAAGCTTTAGAGGAATAGTTCACCCACACAATAAATATTTAGCTTTGTCTTCCTTTATTCACTCTCGTGTAATTTCAAACCCACATGACTTTTTCTTTGTAAATCATACAATTGTGTGATTTAAGTAAGTGTAAGTGTGATTTTTTTTAAACAGTACCATTCAAAAGTTATTCAGCAAAGATGCATCAAATAGATCAGAAGTGACAGTAAAGAAAATTAGAATTCTACAAAGAATTTCTATTTTAAATAAATGCTGTTCTTCGGAACTTTTTATTCATCAAAGAATCCTGGGGGGACGTATCCCGGTTTCCACAAAAATATTAAGCAGCACAACTGTTCAACACTACACAGGTAATAATCAGAAAATCAGCATGTTAGAGTGATTTCTGAAGGATCGTGTTACACAGAAGACTGGAGTAATGATGCTGGAAATTCAGCTTTGCATCACAGGAATATATTACATGTTAAAATATATTACAGAAGAAAACAGTTCTTTTAAATTGCAATAATATTTCATAATATTTACTGTATTTTGATGAAAAAACTGCAGCCTTAGTGAGCAAAAAAAAACTATAACTATAAATAAGACTATAATTTGGTCTAATTTGGTCAAATTGAAATTATTAATAATACTTAGAATATACTGCACATGTCATATGGACTATTTTATGGCAATTTTATTGTGCATTTTTGTCATTTTGGAGATTTATAGAACCAGTCTACATTTACTTTCATTATATGGACAAGAACAGCCAGGACAAAAATGAACTCTCCTTTAAATCAATACAGTGATATGGGTTTGGCACAACATGAGGCTCAGTAAATGATTTTGAGGTGAACTGTCCCTTTAAAAGCTCAGTGGTTCCAATATGACTCATAAAATTTAATGCACCACCACCTTCCTAATATTTACTGTATTTTGATGAAAAAACTGCAGCCTTAGTGAGCAAAAAAAAAACTATAACTATAAATAAGACTATAATTTGGTCTAATTTGGTCAAATTGAAATTATTAATAATACTTAGAATATACTGCACATGTCATATGGACTATTTTATGGCAATTTTATTGTGCATTTTTGTCATTTTGGAGATTTATAGAACCAGTCTACATTTACTTTCATTATATGGACAAGAACAGCCAGGACAAAAATGAACTCTCCTTTAAATCAATACAGTGATATGGGTTTGGCACAACATGAGGCTCAGTAAATGATTTTGAGGTGAACTGTCCCTTTAAAAGCTCAGTGGTTCCAATATGACTCATAAAATTTAATGCACCACCACCTTCAATTCTGATAAAAGAACACAGTCAGAAGACAGCAGTCGCTCATGACTGATGTCTGCCGTTTATCTTAAAATCCTCCTTTTGTTTAACATTATTCATCATTCATCTGAAGTAGTGAAACGGTTGATCTGACAATCCCTACAATGGTGTCCATCACACAAACAGACAGTTCATCAAATGACTAGAAAAACTCACCAGAGCCGCATGGGAAAGGCACATAAGCCTGCACTGCAGAATATAAAAGTCAAGAAACTTCTGTGCAAGTGTTCCATTAAAAATAACTGGGTTTTTCCAAAGTTTAGGTGCAATTAGTAGGCTTATGTGTCTGTCACATAGCTTGGGAATAACCTGGGAATCCACCACAGAATCTAGGAATAAAACACAAAACACAGGGTTCATGCACGCTTACCTGGAACCAAAGGATCCTCCGAAAGCTCAGACTGGACAAACTGCAGCAAGGTGAAAATGATGAGGACTGTGGCGCCTGACCATGTGACCTGCATCATTCTTAGAGAGATGGCATCCCTGGATGTCTCCGAGATTAATCTGGACAGATAAAGAGAAAAACAAAGGAATTCAATTGGAGGGAATTTCTACTTAACACGTTTTTGGACGAGATAATCAATGATTCAGTAAATCATCGACAGTTTGACATAAAATGTCTAGCTGCAAGGTTATTATAGTCAACTAAAAGCATAACATTTTTTACAAAAAATATTTATTGATTATTTTACTTATATTATTTCTAATTTCCATTTAGTTTAACTTGAAGTACTAAAATAAAACGAATAAATACAATTATAAAAATAAAATAAAAACAAAAAATAAATGACAAACAACATTACTAAAACGTTAAACTAAAATTAAAGCGAAAACAAAAAAAATATAAAAAAAATACAATCTATTGCAAAATATTAACAAAAACTTAATATATCAATCATACAAAAAAAAAACTGGTCAATTATACATTGGCTTGAAAATATACCTCAATATATTTTTGCTTAATACCAATGCATTGAATCAAAACACAAAATCTTCAGTCTGGTGTCAATAGACAATCAGATGTAAAGAGGTGAATTTTGTGATACAGAAGACTGAAAGATTAAAACCCATTTTCTCATGTACCAGACTTATTTGGATCAATGCTCAAGGCTGATATGAAATCTCATGCTCAGTAGGAATATTGCCTGTTGGTTCAAAATGAATCTGTTGGTAACTCTGATCAACCATCTGCAAAATACAAGCGCAGATTGTGTGCTAGCCCAGCCTGATCTGAAACCCAAAATCAAAGCATTAGCATCACATTCTTAGGATGCAATAATATTTTTCAGAGATGATGAACGCATGACAAAACACAACTAATCCAGAAATATAAAATGACTTTTAGGGGTCAATTTTTGCAAAGTATGTTATTTTGGTCATGCAATTTATCTTGCTCAACCCAAATTGCTTTTGATTCATTGCACACTTGCCAAATGTAAAATACAATAAAATAAAATAAAATATATATATATAAAATTGCAAAGGTACATACTCAAAATTCACTTTATAAACACCTCTACTTTTCAAAGACACTTCATAATTCTCTTTAGCCGTAATGGCTTGTTTGTGGTAGACACTGTAAGCTTGTTGACAGAAAGGCTTTATTCTCTTCTTATCGTAGGACGCACAGTAAACATTCTCCCTGTCTCCATTTGGTCCGTATCCTGGCCATGGAGCTGAAACGGCGGCAGAGAGCTCTGCTATCTGATTGGAGCAACCGGCCGCCTCATTGTGACACTCGTACCTTATCGTCCTTTATTTCCCCCAGTGTTCTGGCAGCCTGATAGGATTATTGTGCCTAACAATTGCATAATTTGCATGCCATGATGACAGACGCATTTACTATGAACCGGACGGTCGAGTAAGACTTGCATTTATTTTTCAGCTCTTGCGTTTTTTTTCCTCGTTCCCTCATTCATAAAACACTCAGGTCCGCTTCCTCCAAGTATTCCGTGGTGGACAGAGGAGGGTCGGATTGAATTCTTCCAGATAATTGTGTCAGATAGACAGCCAAAAGCGTCTTTCACAAGCGATCAGATAAACACCCAATTACCAGCGGTGAGATGCCACTGTCGGCGGGGCAGAAGAGGTGCGCCGCACCAAGATGGCCTCCTCACCTGACACTCTACGCCAGTGAGTTTAGGCAGAGGAGACAGCTAAGAGTAATTATTCAATTCTGTTGATTAATGAATACAACCATTGAAGATAATGGAAGATTTATGTGTAGGACCTCCTCTTTCCAAATTACATGCACATGAATTGGGCCAATCAGCAACAAACAGACCTGAGCCTACAAAAAATCGTTTTTCTACCCTTTTCTTCAGTTTATCTTTGCAAACACATACTTATTTATGAGCAAGAAATGTATGTACATATATGCAAATCTGAAGCATTTTAGAGAAAGATGCCGTGTCAAATTCCAGCTTGAATTAGTCATCATGAGTCATTATTTTGTGAGTCATTTAAAGGAGTTGACAAAAAATAAAAAATAAAAAAAATAAAACCACTGTGTAATAGGATATTCAGGATATAACATTATAATGCATTATAAATAATATTTATTATTTGTTTATTCAAATTTGTTTTAAATGTAAATATATGACTTGAAATATGTTAACCACGAGTGCATATGAAAGTTAATTTGTTGAGACTGTAATACAATGCAAAATATAAAATGTAATCTAATCAGATATTAACAACAAGAAAAAAATTAAATATATAACCTGTTATGTTATGTTAACCACTAATCCATATGAAAGTTATTTAAAGACACAGTAATAAAATAAATGTAATCTATATTATTAATAATAATAATAATAATAATAATAATAATAATAATAAATTCAATTTAAATGCATGGTAAAATGTATTTAAAGTTAAATTTATATATATTTTGAAATATAAAAGATAAAATGTAAAAGGTTATATAAAAATAATAAAATGTACTAGAAAGTTAAGATTTATAGCTAGATAAAAAAATTATGTAGAGACAATTCAATAAATAATAACAAATAAGGAATATAATGATGATGATGATGATGATGATACTAATAATTATTATTATTATTATTTCATTTAAATGTAATTATATAAATTAATTTATTTAAAGTATAAAATATATTTTAAGTGACATACATAACATTAAATTATAAATGGAACATATAAAAGGTTAGGTAAAAATATGAAAAGTCCTTGAAAGTAAATTTAAAATTATTAAGAAATAAATGTAATGAGAAAATGTATTAATTAATATTTATTTATTTACTAACAGTGGTGAAAAAATATGCAATCTCCCATGAACCTTTAATTTAACCCAAAGTGTTCCAAATGGAGCCAAAATGTACTCCAAATATCCTGTTTGTCTCATCATGGCGACAACCCTGTCTCGACATGATATCGGTCATCTTGCTGGCTAAACGTTGGAATTGCCCATTAAAAATATCCTTATCTGTCAATCACTAGTCCACAACCAGGCCCAAACCTCACCGACTCAACTCTGTACTTAAATGGAAAGAACACAGACACATTTCAGAAATTTCAGTTTTGAAAAATGCACAACAAGTGCTTTCTGCAAGAAAATGTGGGTCTTTTGGTGTTCCCATCTCTTTTCTTCTTCTGCTTCTGGAGTTTCTTTGTTGCGGTGGGCGATGTGAACAAAGTCAACACCCATCCCGACCCTTCATGTACTGTTTTGAGGTTTGGCAGACACCGACTAAACTGTCATTTCCTTTACACACTGCTTTCATTTCCAACATGACATGACACCAATTCCACATGAATAGGTCTCCTCACATCTCATGAGGGGCGTCTGGCGTGTTAAAGGTGGAGGCATATAGCAGGTAAATTATTGCAGGGAAGTGTTCAGAGGGCTCTGAGAAATCAAATGCACTTCAAATTACCTCTGACAACACCCACTGTTCCTTTCAGCTTAATCTCTCGCCTTTCATCTTCCAATTTCTGCCTTTGGAGCTCCCTGTAACTTCAGCCCAGGGAGCCAGATGCTACGAGAGCTGGGGAGGGGAAGGAAAGAGACAACAAAGAAAGATATGGAATAGACATGGCAGGAGACTGATCCTGCGATGCAGACGATAGTCTGCAATTGCTAAAAATCTAAATTGTCCTCCATTTACGTTATAGTCCAAATGGTAAGAAAACCGAGATGCACAATATCGCTATCGTTATCTTTGCCCAGCACTGGCTTTTCCCCATAGACCACTGTGCTTATTGGGAAGGTGGCTGGAGGTTCAATTAGCCTGACCGGGACCTTTTTGAGGGAATAATGCAATGCGCCGACAGCCGTGCAATGCAATGCAAGCCATAAGGAGCGGAGCGTTCTATAGTGGCACGCTTACGTATTCATTCCTTGTTCATGCTTTAGAGCTACATTGTGCACTATCTGGACGATGCAGATGCCGTCCCCCGGGACTACAGCCAGGACAGTGAGTAAACACATATTCGCCTATTGTTCATGATTTCCAGGCATTTCAGCAAAACCTCCAGCGCTGCATTTCCACTGGCCATTCCTCCTCGCTGTTCATTAATTTGAAAGCAGGCTGTTTGGATTGGGCATCATTTAATCACATAGGAGACATGGCCTAGAGGCAAACACAAATACTTCAACATAACCAGGGCTGGACACTTTAATTGAGAACACCTTTAATATTACTGAATTTGAATTGAGCTATTCAAGATAAAGACGTGGAGGTAGTTTAAAGGCAACGTCTGTCATTTCTGCATCACCAAACAGAATTTAAAAAAGATTGATGATTGGTCAGCCAAACAGACAGAAACAAACATAACCACACCAATGGTTAAGTAAATGTTGCTGTGTCAAACTGGTCAAGATGCTCAAACAAATATAAATATAAATATAAACTTATAAAATCTTTAAAACTGATTTAATATATTGATATGAATATGAAATATGAAAATATATTTATATATATATATATATATATATATATATACACACACACACACACACACACACACACACAAGATATTATAAACATATACAGTATAAATGTATAAATTATGAACATACAGTGGGTACGGAAAGTATTCAGACCCCCTTAAATTTTTCACTCTTTGTTATATTGCAGCCATTTGCTAAAATCATTTAAGTAAAAA